CCCCCCCCCCCAGCCACTACAGTGATGTATCACTCCACAGACAACGGCTCATCTTCCTGGGTTTGTTCTTTTTTTTTTGGCAAATTAATTTTTTTCCCTCTTAGTTTTTGTTTTTATTTTGCTTTTTGTTGTTGGTTTGTTTTTTTTTTAGAAAGCATTAAAAAAAATCTGCAGCTGTTAAAAAAAATCCTTTCCCTTTAGAGGCTGGAGGTTTTATTGACAGGTAAATAATCGGTGTGAGTATGTAAATAGCAGCGACCCCACTGACGGTGTTGTCCCTCAGCAGCACAGCCAGCTGCAGGGACATGGTGACTGGCTTGGTTTGGTCATTGTCACAGACCTAGGACACTGGAGTTTCCTTACACTTAGTGTTTCCCTAATTCCTGTTCCTGCCCAACCCTCCTCAGGCATCACTTCAGCACAAAACACCTGCCTGTCCCCGTGGCAGGCTCGATGCTCTGAAGGGGATTCTCCTCTCCAGACCTCCCTAGCTATACAAGTGGTTTGTTTTCCAAACTGGACAGTTGAACTCCCTCCAGACTTGCTGATCTCTTGTCCTTTGGCAGCAGGAAGAAAGACTGGCCATCCTTTTTTCCTAGAATATAGAGGGAGGGGCCAAACGCACCGTAACGTACACCATCTTCTGCAAAATCCGTTCGAGCTGATCCATGGCTCCCCCAGCCCACTCACACCAATGAGGTCTCAGGTTAATAAGCAGTGCAGTTACTCAGCTATCTGCTTGTAAGTGGTAGGTGCTCTTGGGCAGGTTGCCTGCTCCTGCCAACTCCCCCACAACTTCACGTTGTCAGCACATCTATATTTAAGACTGGGGTTTTTTTGCCTTTGTTTAAAGGGGTTTCCTTCCCTTGTAGTAAACTTATAGAGTTAATAGAAAAAAGTAATTCAAAAGTAATCCAAGCACATCTGTAATTAATTCTGCAGGAGAGGGCAGAGCGAGGCAAGTCAGAGTTGGCACGCAGTTCCTGGCTCCTGGTGTGCAGTCCCTGGGACGGGCAGAAGGTCCCTCCGCCGAGCACAGCTAGAAGTTAGATTTGGAGTGTCCAAATATGCAGATGGGAAAGTGCTTGACATGAGAGGACCACTGTGCTGCCAGCTGAAAGAACTTGACATCGTTCCACTCCACTCCATCAATCAGGACTGCAGGGAAGGGTAAAATGAGAGGAGAGTTAGATAATACCAAGAGGAAGCAGCCAACCTGGAGCAGCTTTGCTAGAAATCTCCCTGCAGTCAGCAGAGGGAGGCCTGGCCACACGCTGCTCTGCCTGGCCACCCCACCCAGCTGCACACAGGGGAGACAGGCTCTGGAGCAAACCACATTTAGGGAGAACAGCTCAGACTGTTGTTCCAGCATTGCTCACTGACACCAGAGCTTCCCAGACTGCTGATTTCAGCATCACCTGATCCTATTTCTCAAATTTCCTAAACAGTTCATTTTCTTTTTTTGGGCAAATGTACTCTTACAGAGATGGACATCAGTCTCTCCTCACTGGCACTCTTAACCAGGAGATCTATGCCTCCTAGAGAGGTGACACACACTGTCAGCACCCTTCACGCTCACCAGTCTCACAGGGACCAGGCCAGGATCAAAGAGGTGACCCAAGCAGATCCCTCAGCTGAGGATTATCAACTGAATACACTACAGGGATATTTTTGATACTGGATGCCACTAACAACAGTGTCAGGTCTGTCTGCACGATGCATATATGATTTCTGCTGTGGTGTGCCTGTGTGCCAGCATCCTCCCAGACAACAGCCACACTCACCACCCTCCATCAACCAACACTTGCAACAGCTGTGCAAGAGAAACAGAGAATGACAGGGAAGGGAATGGAGCCTAGCCCAGCCCTTCCCCTTATCCACAGCACTGCCTCAGAGGAATTCCTAGGAGAGAGAGGATTTCCCACATCCAAGCCCTATTAAAGAATTCCATCATGCTGAGCACATTCAGGCCCATATTCCTCAGGAATACCCCCATCCTGCTGGCTCCAGGGCACCAGGTCAGCCTGGAGGACAATTGCAGCATCTGAGCCCAATGGGATGGAAGCACTGCACTTACCACGCAGCATGTTCTGCTGATGTTTCGCTGTGCAAATCAACCTGCTGATTCCTTCAATACACTGGCTCTTTGACTCAACTTCCTTGTCTTTTGTTTTCTTGGGCAAAAACATCACTGGAAGAAAATCAAACCAGCACATGGTGAATCTGTGTCACTCACAGGAGCTGTACTGACACTTCTTTGAGTTTTTGTATTTAAATATTCATGCCTGAAAATTCTAACTAACTCCCAAGATTCTCTCTTTTTGGCAGGAGTCTGTCAGTGCTGAGCACCATCACCTATGCACATGGGCATTTTAGCCCTAAGTGTGTCTACATGAAGAATTCCCAGCTCATAGCCCAGGCCCCAAAGGACACCTTCAGGGTAACTCTGGCTCTGTTGGGACACTATGCAGTGAAAGCATCTGCAATGGCAGGTCTGGTGCACCAACTGTGGTCCAACACATGCTGGGCTGCACAGACACCTGGAGAGCAGGAGGGGCTACAGACTAGGGGCAGCTGGTGGAGAGGGAAAGTGTCAGGAGAGCTAAAAAAGGATCCAGTTCCCCAAGAACTGTCCAAATGCATGAAGAAAAATGTACAAACTGGCTCCACAAAAACTAGCGGTGTTGATCACCTCTGGGCCAGCCCCAGGGAAGAACATTTTGAGTGTCTCAGGACCATTTCTCCCATTGGCATGGCACTTACAAAAGGTGTCATCAGGGATGGCAGTTCTGGTACCAGCAGTTCCACTGCTGTGTTGGGCTGGGAGTGACGTGGCTGCACGGTTATGCACCTGTGTCCTGCAGTCACTGGCCAAGGAGGCTCTGTCAGCCTTCTCTCAGAGCCCCCAAAACCCCTGCTGCCTCAAGTTCAGGGGTACTCCTACTTTGTCATCTCACAGGGATCTGTGGTACTTGCTGGGCTTATTTCTCCTTTTTTTTTACTTTTTCCCTTACATGCCTGTTTTATTCTCTGTGGCTCTTCTCGAGCTGAAGGCTCATAGGATGGGGATATCATCCCAGAAAGCAGAGCTCTCCCAAGTTTCCAGCACACTGCTAGAAAGGAGTGACTCATTTAGCCCCACCAGTGGTCAGGGCACAAGCTGCCACTTACCTAACCCAACACCCCAAACCAGCCCCAGTAGGCTCACAAGGAAGCTGTCCAGACCAGACTACCTCCTGGCTTTCTACATGCCCTTCCTCTGTCCTTACCTTTCTTCTTTTGAGCTATACCATCTTAGCTGTTCAGCTGTAAGGGGGAATACATCCCCTTTTTACAGCACGAAGAGAGGTTATTCTTTCAAACCTACTGCTTCTCATCCACAGACAGACTAGGATTTTGGGGACAAAAATATGATGTAATGCAGGACTCACAAGTCAGGCAGCCCTGGAGCAGCATGACAGGGAGAGAAGCATTGCATTCTTGGCTTTTGGCAAAAGTGAATATGTCCACCTTACCTTTCTTGTTCTTTTCTTTTGTCACAACAGTCATGGACATGGTTGGAGTGGTGGCAATCTCACCGCTGGCAGGTAACCTGCTGACCTGGAGGGACCGGAAAGTGCATTTCAGTGTGTTTTTGGTAGTGGAAGGGTCCTTCTTCTCCGGGTCTCTCTTTCTGTCCACGGGTGGAGCTGCAATCCAGTAATCCACCTGCAGGCCCATCAACTCAGCACCGAGGCCCTGGCTGGAGAACAAGAGAAGGTGGTAATTTCTGCACAGTGTTCAGCACAGTTTTCCCCATCCATGTTTTTTCACAGTGGTTGCCGTTCCTGGTCAGAGAATGAACACCTGGATTTTTTGGAAATCAGGCAGCAACATTTCATAGTGAGACTCAACAGTCACAAAGGCTGAAGAAGTCACCACTGAGTAATTCAGCCTGGGTCACACTGCACAGTGGGCACAGTGGCATCAGCTCGGCAGCCAGAACTGCAGTGAGCTGAAACATGCTGACCTGCTGCACAGCCATGGGGATGAGCACTGGGAAAGGGAGCAGACAGGGAGTCTCCTTACACAGTGCTGAGTTTGGTGACCCAGCCAGCAAAGGCAACCCCTGAGATGGCTCAAATCACTTTATCTTTGAGGGGGGCAGCACCTTGCTGCTGCTTCCTAAGCACTGATGAATGAGTGATTCTGTCCAGGCACAGCATGGCTAAAATCAACTCAAAACTGGAGTGAAAAAAGACCTGGCAGGCCCCCAAACATTAGGCACTCAGTTCCCAGTCTCCCTGACTTGCTTCGATCTCCTGTGCTCATGAGATCTTCCTGCCAGCAGCTGCTTCCCTCCTCTGGCTCAGATGTTCCACCAAGTTACACAATACCTCTGCTCTCCCTAGGTCCCTGTAACAGAGATGGCATGGAGTAACTGCCTCCCCCACCAAGCCCTGCTACTTGTTGGGGAATTCCACTGGTGGAAAAATGCTCTGCCAGTCCTGTGATGTTTGCTAAACAATGGCAGATTTTGGGACATGATCTGCGGTTGAAAACTCCTGCGCATCATGTGGCAACAGTTGTGCATCACCAAAACACACTGCCAACCTTTCTTGAGCCAGAAAAGGGAAGATGAGCAGCCTGGGAAATTCCAGCCCTTGCCTGCCCCTGCCTCTCACTAGCTAACCTCGAGGGGAGCAGGGGTTCATCATTCAGCAGACCTAGGGCTGACAGCCCATACTTCTTCCTACACAATGACAAGGGGTGTTGAATAATATGCAAGTACTAGACAAAAACCTAAATTTATCTACCAGTCTGTGTCCCCTGTTTGAGAAATGGCAGTTGTTAAGGAAGATAAATCTGTGATCTTGAATGAAATATGCATCCCTCTGCACCGCCTGTCTAATAAGAAACTCTCAAGGTAAAACAAGGACGTTCCATCGTTAAGGACCACTCAGCAAATCATTTCCTTTTCTTTGCCATTTATTCAGCTGAAAGTCAGGCTGCAAAGCAGAGTTCATCTTTGATCACCAAAACCAGATTTTGGGTTCTCAGGGCAATATTCAGCAGTGAGAGTCTTTAAGGACGATGTTTTGGAAATGCTGCTTTAAGTTTTAAGGCTTCCTTGCATGACATTTCTCAGCTCAGTTGTGAAGACAAAGCATCCTCATGTTCACTATGCCCAAGGAAAATTTTATGTTCCATTCCCAGTTAAACATGTGGCTTAATCTTTCAGTCTGGGCCATCCTCCAGTCCCTGTGCTGTCACTTACAGATTGGGGAGGTGGAACAATGTTGAACCTAAACTTCCTCATTTCTTGATGACTTTACCACACAGCATGAAACAGAAAAAAAACCCAGATTCCTAAAGCTTCAGATATATCACATCTGTGGCTCACAACTCTAACACCCTACACTTTTGTGGGCACTGGTTCCCAAACCACTTCCACCTCCGGAAAGCCTGCATGGAGCTCACACAGGAGAATTCAGCTCTGCTCCCCAGAGCCTGCACAGCCCCCAGCTCCCTGCACTACCAGCCAGCTGCTGTTGGGACCAGCCTGGGGCACACAGAACTCTCCTGCCACCAAACCACAGGGAGCCAACAGGAGGGACCTGGGGAACTGGGCCACCTGGCACAGGCAAATAGCCACCAACACCTTCCAGTGCTGGGCACCTGCTAAACAGGGACTTACACATTTCCACTGCCTCTTGTTAAAAGGGAACTCTTAAGCCCGCGTAAGAAGTCAGAACTTAAAGGTCCCCACAGGGCAATCTGGGGTGAGCAGGAAAGGTCCCCATTCTGTCTCCAGCAGGGACAGTAGGTGATGCTGCTTAGGGAGAGCACGGAACTGATGAGCATTCCCTTGGACTTCCCCAGCCTGTCAATCACAGGATTAGGGATGTTAGAAGGGACATCCTTGAATCACCCTTTAGTATCCATTAATGGATCTGCTGTTGATGAATTTGCCTAACCCCTTTCTGATCTGCTGCCACAGAGGCAGCAGAGGCAAACATGGTCCCAATACGCCTTTCCTGCTCTATGTAGAAGTCCTTTCCTTCCTCCCTTTTAACTGACCTCTTGCAGTGTCATGGGCATGCATGCCCTCAAGCTCCTGTACCACAGGTTTGGTGAATGACAGTAAAGTATTCAACAAACCCACTGCCACTGATTTTGCAAAACTTGAGTAGCTTACCCCTCCCTTCTCTCTTCCCCCAAACTGCAGAGTCTGAGAATTTCTAGTCTCCCCTCACAAGGCTGCTCTGTTTCCTTGATCTTGCTAACTCCCCTGAACCTTTAACTTCAATCACTTGTTTCTGAGCTGTCCCTTCTAGCTCCAATGCGTCTGCCTTTGAGACCTGCAGAGTGCAAGAACACCCTGCCCTCCTCAGCTCCTTGTTGGCCAGCAAGGACAGAGTCACTCCAGAGGCAAAAGAGATGAAAGGAACAGGTGACAATTTCAAGTGTTTGCTGGGGACACAGGAAGAACTATAGGTTTTCCTTTAAAGGAGTTCTCTCTCATGTGCATGTTGGGTAAGCAGCCAAGGGAGCTGTAAAAAGACAGAACATGGTTTACCTTGAGGATGTGAAGCTGCCTGTAACAGACGGTGAGGAAGGGGGCGTGGGGGAGGCTTCTTTCACAGCAGGAGACACAGAGGGTGGGGTAGAAGAAAGGACACTGGAGCTTGAGGGAGCTGCGTCATCAGAGTCACCTTAAAAAAAGGAAGTCAAACAGTTTGTTTGGGTTTGTCTCACAGCCCAGCACATGCACACAGAGATAGCTCAGTCTCCTTGCCCACACTCCTGCTGCACAGGTTCTGTTCAGGCTCAGTGCAGGGATCAGCTAGTCCATCAGCTCTGACTGCCTCCACACTTAAACCACAGCACTTTCTATGTTTGGGTATGAGGCAGGCACAGACATTAACACTCCCCTGGGCTCCCCATCTGGCATCTGCTCTTCTAAGGTTTGCTCCCAGCTGATTTTGAGCCTCCTGCACAGTTCGAGCCAAGTCCATTGATCCCTGACAGGGAATCTCCCCCTGCAACCACTGCAGGGCAGCACGACTCTTGGTGGTGCCCAGTAGCTCTGGGCTGATCACAGGGATCTCCCCACTCCCTCTGCTTCCACCCTCCACAACCAAGGCATCATTCCCTTCCTGTTGGCTCTTTAGGATGGTGGGAGCACTGTGGCAGCAAGGAGTGACCCACAGAAGGGCTGCCTCCATGTACAAACCTATGAGTAACCCAGGCCACAGGAATCTGGGTTTAACAGTTAAGCAATACAAGAAACATTCTCAACAGGTAAGGAAAACAATATTCCTGACTAGCAGTGCATATGAAGGAGGAAAAAATAAGTTCACATTGACAAAACAGCACTACTCCATGTCCATGTGTGTAAGCAGGCAGTATCTACTGTACAAATCAGTTTTGCACTCCCCTATGAAAAATGGGTCTAAATGTTGCCTATCCTAAGTTCCCAGTGTCAGGCACATGTCTGAAATTGATTTTATTAGGCAATTGATCCCAGTGTAAGGAAAGAGGCATGAACTTCTGATGAACTGCCTCTCCAGTCTGGAGCAGGAAACTCAAATAACCTCAGCAGTGAATCCACAGAACATGCATGAGAAAAATGGGTGTTTGCACAAATATGAGTGGAGCTTCCCTCGGTGAGGGTGTGGAAATTTCAGCTGGCCTGAAGCTCCTTGCAAAGTAACAAGAAAAATGGCCTCTCAAGAGAGGGTTCTTTGTGCAGACAATCACTGAGAATCAAGGCAGTGGAACTGGAAGCTAATAAAATCCAATTCCACCTCACAGGACTCCAAGACATCAGTGATGAAAATGTTTGTTTAGCCTGTGAAGTCAGGCTCCCACCACCTGTATGACAAAGCACATAGAAGATGCTTGTTACCTGATGTTGCAGAAGATTGTTCCACTATTCCAACCTTCACCACCTAAAGGGGGCAAAACAGAAGAGGTCTATGAAACAAGAGTCCTCTGAACTTCAGGAACCCCCAAACCCAACCTCATCCCTGCAGTCCTCTTGACACTGTCCCTGCAGTCAGAACAGTTAAAGTAAGTTCAAAAGTGGAGTCTTCTAAGAGCTGGGCAGGTCCCAGCAGTGTCCAGCCAAGCAGTACCAGCTCACAGCTCTTCCCCAACCTACACAGAGGACAGTACACTCTGGAGCTGTTGCAGATCTGAACAGCTCTGAACAGTTTGACATCAGTCCCAAGTTACAGCAACTACAGTGCCTGTCTGTGACACCTCTCGGAACAGGGCAGGGATGAGAGAGGAACATAAATATCCCCTCAGCACTGCTTTGATACACCCGTTAATTACAGACACATTGCTTCCACTGCTCAAGTGCAGCCACTTCCAGGGTGCAGCATAGTTGAGGTTTGTTAGGACACCACAAAAGCAACAAAGTGCAGTTTCTGATCAGTTTTCTATTCTCTAAACAAGGGAAGTGTCCAGACAAGAAGATAAAACTCCCAGCAAAGCCTCTGGATGCAGACAGACATGGATGAACTACCAGGTGGACAGGTCAGAATGATCCAAATCATGCTCTAATAAGAATACAAATGTGTGTGGCCAACCACCAGCTAGTGCATTAAGATTAATGATGAATGCTACTGGCAATAATTTGTAGGACAGAGCATGCTACAAACAAGTTTCCACGAACACACTATGCCTAGAAAGATAAAATGCCCCTTGGTGATATAAAAACAGGGACCTTCTGTAGTGATAATCTGCTATAGTGCACAGGGATCATTACTCAACACTGCAGAGAAGAGACCATTCTTAAGGTCTTCAAGAAGCTTGTATCCAGGGTTATATAAATGCTGACAAATGGCAAAGAGCTGCAAAGGGAGCTCAAGTCAACAAAACCTGCCTTAGAACCAGAAATGGTGTCACACAGCCTGTTTAGGTTGAAAATAGAAGGTCCTTAAGTTCAGACACAACCGTGTCTGGACCACATCTCTAGGGAGGACACTTCTGTGCTATGGGATCAAAATAAAGGACTTAATTACTAGAAGCAAAAAGCTTTGCTGAGTTTGGAGGGTAGAGGGAGGTATGCTTAACACTAGATCTTGGAGAGTTGTCAGGTTCTCTGGTGAATTCGCTGTTAGATCCAGTCCTGGAAAAGCCATCATGAACTCAGTAGTGTGTACAGAGGCTCCCTGAGGGGTCACTGACTGGCTTGGGAGAAGGAGGATACAGCTCATCAAAAGGGCAACAAATCAGGCTCTGGAGTGGAGCAGCCATTTGTGCTGAGTGTGTGTGTTAAACGCCAAGAGGATGTTTCACAGACTGTCACTAGCTGTGTGCAAGAAGAAGCGGGGCAGAAGAGTTAGGGGAAGGACAAACAACACAGAAAACTGCCTACAGGCACCTTGATCTGAAGCCAGACAGGAAATCTCTTTTGGCCTTTCCCTCCTTGCTGGCTGACTGAAGATGCTTGAGTTCAGACACATGGGAGGAACATTACGTTAAGCATTTTCCCTTCCCTCCACTCAGGGAGGCGTTTGAGACTGCTGCAGTCCCAACACACCTCCATCCAGGAACGCTGCTGCAGCAGCCAGACTCCTTTCCCTTCAGGAAGAGGCACATCCTGTTAACTCTCCTGGCAACTGGCTGTCAGCACAAGGCAGGGGCACAGCCACGCAGCCCAACCACCTGACTCTGGATTTCACACCCATCTGCCCCCTTGTGAGGCTCCACTCCCACCACTCCAGAGTCCAGCTGAGCAGCACAGCACTGCCCTGCTCTCTCCTGGGTCCAAGACTGTACAACCCAGCTGCAGGATATCAGGTTTTGCACCTCAAAACCCAAAAGAGTCTAGCCAACATAAGTTGCATATCCAAAAGTCTCTGGCTCCCTCTCTTCCTTGGTCAATATCTCCAAGTATGCTACAGCTGAGGAAAAGAGCTTCAATGGTCATGTCCAAACTCAGACCTTGTGAGACACCTGCAACTGGCCTTTCAGTCTCCTCAGATGTGTTTCATGGGGAATTACTGTATTAGGAACACTGCAGCAGCAAGAGTAAGCAGTATTGATTTGACCCTCATCACCAGATGACATAGGAAGTCAGTCTGTGCTTTCAAGGCCAGTTTTTTGGGGGGTTGGCAGTATTGTGTACACAACAAAGCCATTCACTCTTTCACCACTTTCAGACAATCAAATCCAGACTGGACAAGCAGTGCTAATATCAGGACTATGGTAATTTTAGAGCAACTGGACAAACAGTCTGAGCCTCATTTGCCTGCAGGTAACACAGAAAAACATAGCCCCAAAGAAAAGCTTTCCAGAGCCCAGCAGCTATCATGAGATGAACCTGGGGGCTTCCAAGTCGTTTTGGGCTTTTCATGTTACTGGGAAAGGTGAAACAGCTGGTTCATAAGAACAGTTCTTTACTAGAAATTGCAGTTCATGGGAGGGACAAGATCACAGCAAAGCTCGTCAGCAGGGAACAAATTGAGAAGATGTGTCTCTCTGCTTTTGCACAAGACATCTGTCCTTCAACAAACAAAAGTAGATTGCCATCTAAGGAATACTGCAGAGAGAGACTCTCACTCTGAGGAGACACCAGAGTGAAAGCAGGGTCAGCCTGAGGGCAAGAGAGACTAATCTCTTTAAACGCCTTGGGATTTCAGATTAGCTCTGACCCACCAAGAGGGGCACCAAGAGGGACACAAATGAGAATGCACACAAGTCATTTTAACACGGAGCAGGCAGAGCAAGGCAGCCAGCAGGTCAGAAAGAGAAAAGACAGCAGCAAAAACCGTAAAAAATGATGGAGGACATCCAGTAGCTGAAGAGCAGACAGGGGATTCCTTCTGGTCACAAGTCAATGACTTTATACCTAAAACTTAATGAATTGAAGAGCATGATCAAACAAGGGGAGAGAAGGTAGAAAAGGCAAAGGACACAGTGCACAAAACATACTGACAGAAGCACAAACACAGCCCTGCCTAGCTAGTCTGCACTTGGCCACCTCAGCTGTGAATACTTAGTGATAAGGACAGGAGGAAAAACTAGGGACTAGTATCCCAAATATATGTTCACATAATAAAATGCATTTAATAGCTCTGTCTCTGACTCAACCTTAACAGTGGTATAAATGATCTCCTTGGTGGGATGTACTGTCCACTTCCCAGGAATGGACGGAATATCAAGAGGACTGGAGACCGTTCATGACAAGCACAGAGGACTGACACAGGAGTAGCCAAACTGGCCAAATCAAATCAACCAGGGCAATGCTGGGCACAGCATCCCTGAGATGAAGTTTCCAGGGACACACCACCTTCCTGTCTGAGATGTAAAATACACCCTGTAAGTTTGTTGAGGGATCTTAGAGGTTTACTTACATACCAGGCAGTTGCATTCAACCATCAGATGCTCCTGCTGATATTCTCCCTTAGAGCACCCATTGGCTTCTGCTCTACTCCAGATATCAGCTAAGTTTGTGTTAACACTTGGGGCATATTGTAGCCCGCTGCAGCCCATGTAACTATGATAACACTCACCCCGACAAAGGGAATGAACTTCTGCGAAGATTCTTCATCAGGGCTAAAGACAAAGAGAAGAAAGTTGTTAGCATCTTGTTGCTATGCCAGGCAGGATACTCACTTTATATGTTGCATTCCAGCATGCAGCAGGGACGGACAGTATGCAAGCGCCAGTCCAACGCTCCTCAAGGCCCCCTGCCAGCACGCCAAGAGTCTGCACGGGTGGGGAGGAGCACGCAGCTTACGGCATGTCTCTCGGGGGGAAAAAAATCTTTTCCTCCCTCCCTCACGCTTGACAGAGAAACATGCTTTAATGGCATGGCAGTCATCACAGACACACGACCTCCTACTGCAAGGAAATGGATCTGTGCCACAACAACACGGAGAACTGTGCGTTACTTACTAGTACCTGAAGCGCTCTGCACGCACGGCCTCCACGCGTCCCACCTTTGGAGCCACGTGCCATACCTTGCACATCCCGGCACCGCTAAAGCAGTTAGCCTGCCACGGGGTTACAAGCCGTGACACCAGGTTATTTGTAAAGCACTAGCAAGTTTGTACTCACACACGCTCACACACACACACACGGACACGTTCCCTGCCGCTGAGAGCTCGCGGTCCCTTCCACAGGCACACTGGAGAGGTTGGGCACCAGAGCACACCAGGCAGGTCAGGACACCAACTTGAGAACTGCAAACGGCTAAACCAACTGAACAAAAGGCACACCGTGTCCCAGAAACAGCTGAAGACAGCACATGGTCTCAAAGCAGGAAGGCATCAGCCCCTCCTGCTCTGGCCTGCCCAGGATTCAGCAGATAGAGGGTGGAGAAGGGCCAGCAATGAAGGCAACAGTCAAACCTAGCAGGAATTAGGGAGAGACTCAACAATGACAAGAAGACCACCTCAGTGAGAAGGAAGGCAAGCCAGGAGGGCCCGTGGAGCCACTGCTCCCTTCAAGGGCAACAGAGATGAGGACAGACCCACAGGGTGCGGAGAGGACCACAGGAGCACATCCATGTGTTTGGAGAACTACAGTTCAGCAGTGGAAGTGACTGCATAGGCAAGACACACATTTCTCAGTGACCAAGCACAGAAAACAGGTAGGAAGCAGACAGACACCGAGATTTCTCATGTTTCTCTTTCTGTGTGTCCCTCAGTGTTCAGAGAAAAAACATCCAGCATTGCCTTCATCCGGAGTTTAGCTGGGGACAGCATGAATACTTTAGGAATGCAGGTACTTCTGCGCTCTTCCTAGCACAGACTGGAAATGCATCAAATGCACAAAGGTTGCCAACCACTATGTGATTAGCATA